CAGAAAAGTTCCCTGTTTCCGTCACCAAAGTTCCCTATTTTCGTCACGAAAGTTCCCTTTCTTCTGGCTCTCTCTCTCTCTCTCTCTCGCTCTCTCTCTCTCTCTCTCTCTCTCTCTCTCTCTCTCTCTCTGTTAAAATTCGCAAAGCCATTGGCCCTTGAAGTTTGTGCAGGAATTAGTACCAGTTTTTAGCGATATTCACAACTCATCTTTATTTGAGGGCTACTTCCCTGATGCTCTGAAAGCTAATCACTGCTGAACCCAATTCCCAAGATCTCCCCACCACAGTGGATTGAGAGCGATCTATGGCCTATTGCTCTGACATGTACCCTTGCAAGGTTTTGGAGGGTTTTTACCCGTGATGTTTGATTGCGCAGGTGTGTAACCAGATTGATCCTCGCCAACATGAGCATGTGGGACATTCCCCCGCTGACATATTTGTATACCTGCTCTATGCAGTGTATGAAGCAGCAGATAAGGAAAATTGTGGTGTTAGGCTATTTTTTGCTGATTACTACAAAGGGTTTTGATATGATTGATCACAGCATTTTCTAGGCATTTTTTACAAGTGGCATCCAAGCGGTGAGGATAGAGAACACCTTCTCTGAGTGGAAATCGCCCAAGGGAGATATACCACAAGGCACACAATTAGGAGTGATCTTGTTTATCATAATTACAGATAATTTACTGCATTCTTGGAACCTTAGAATTAAATTTGTTGACGATCCAACTGCCTTTGAAATAATCCCTAGAAAAACTGTTAGCTCACTTAACTTTGCTATTAATGATCTGTTTTTGAAAGTTTATCCGTTGCTACATTTTTTTCTCATTTTCTTCAAAACAGATGATTCCTCTGGAGGATTGTGTACATGTAATACAATGTAACATTGTTGAATAATTACCTGACTTAGACCAAAATATGTCAGTAGGGCCATTATTGGTGCTGCTGCTGCAAACACTAAGAGATGTTTTCGTATTCTATTCCTCACCAATCCCTGAAAGTAAACACAAAAGACAAAGAAACTTTATTACTTTTGCTTCTTACAGTTTTGTACTATAAATGAGTACAAACGGAACATTTCATGAGGTGATCTGATTTAAGCCTTGGTTGCTAAAAAAGCACACATCTCTCCAGAAAACTTAGAACCACTGGGTTTGTTAGAAAATAATTTTGTTAGGGCTATCTACAATGTAATATGTTTTTTTCTTGGAGAACAGCCTTGACATGATATGTTGCAAGGAAACTTTATCTCACTTAAACTCACCTAAAAACAAATTTTATCTAAAGGAACTGGGGTTAATCCATTAATATTATTAATCACCATCATTATTATTAATATATAAAAAGAACATTGAATTTAACGATAATGCCCAGCTACAACTATTATAATTATCAATAATATTGTTAGTGAAGGTGTGATTTTTTGGGGGCTTGAATACGTACAAAAAGGGAAGTGTAACATAAGATTATAGTTGATAAAGAATAAGTATTCCTTGACATGTACATGTAATGTGGAAAGAAAGAAACAGGAAAGGCAAAATTCATGATAGAGTAAATATTGAAAATGATATTAAAACTCACTTCATGAAGAAGAAACGTTGAAAGACCAAATGCAGCTGGTGCCTACAAAAAATATGTTCAAACCATTACAATTACCAGTACCAAATATTTAATAGTTGATATTCAGTAACCTAAAGGTTTTTCTTTTTTATATATACCGTAAAATTCCGAAAATAAGCCCCTCCATGTATAAGCCCCTCCAAATATAAGCCCCCCAAACCGGTAAAACAAAAAACCCTCCGTTAAATCGCCCCTCCAAATATAAGCCCCCCGGGGGCTTGTACTTGGAAAAATTCCCCTCAAATACAAAGTAAGACAAAGCCAAAACGGTCAATTTACTTCCAAATATAAGGCTAGCCCATTAGATTTTGAAACGCAAATTTCCCTCCGTAGATGCCCCTTCGAATATAAGCCCCTCCAAAAATAAGCCCCTCAAAAAGGGCCTTTGAAAAATATAAGTCCCGGGGCATATTTTTGGAATTCTACCGTATATAAAATAATAATGAAAATAAAAATCATTGTCCACCTTATGTAACATGATTGCTACAAATACAATCACTTCCACTTCTGTTTTGGATGTAGACACAGCGGCTCCCAATGCCACACCATCCGCTGCAAAAACAACAAATAACAGTCTTACTGTTTATTTACAATTATGTCACACCATTAATAAAGTATAGGTAAAGGAGTTTGTTAGGAAAAATTTTTGATGCCCACCTGATATTATACAGATTGTGATGACTGTTTGAGTGGGGTGTTAAAGTGTGAAAGTACTATAATTGTTTTAATAATAACATGTACCCTTACCAGCAGCATGGACAACCAAGCCAACCGTGGCAGTGATTTTGCTATGTCTCTGTCTACCATTGCTCTCTGGATCTCCACCTGCGATACAAAAAAAAAGAGTCAATGGTGCATTAAGGCACGTTTTGACCGAGGAATACCCCAATATACCAGTATACAGTTTTTCTTGACCTCTTAGAGGAGCTTGCTCTGTGGGTGATCCCGGCCTCTTGGCGAAGTTTATTAAAATAAATAAATAAATAAACAGTTACAAGACAAAGTTCCAGCACCCAAAGCACCAAACTAGATTTCTGCTCCTCTATAAAATATACAAAAGTAAATGTGTCTAAAGTAGAACCTAAAAAGGACAACATTGTACGATGTAATGGGTGAAGCTGTAAAAGTCTTTTGTTTTCCCATTAAAGTGTATTTAATGAAGATTAAAAGAAAATATCAGAAAATACCAAGCCACACTAACCAACTCCCCTACAATCCTCACCCAACACACCACATGTAACTCACCATGTGATCATGAGTTCAATAATCTTGGCGAGAGGTGGACTTGCATCTACCCCTTCAATAATATTTATACACAAAGACTGCAATACAGTTGAAACTCCTTCATGGACACTATTAAAATTATTTAAGTCACTTTAAAATTTAATTACACGTACCTTGTGATCCAGAGGGTGCATGTGAATGACCACCACTGATGTGATCAATTAGCAGCATAAATACAAAGCCACAGACCAAGGAAAGCCCTATAAATACATCAGGTTCAACCTGAGAGATTTGATGCTTCAAAAGATCTACATGTGAATGAACTTTGCTTGTATCTTCCAGAGAATGAGAGGCTTCAGCAGCTTTGTCTTCTGAGTGAGTGTGGGAAGCGTGTCCTTTAAAGGAAAAACATAAATAAATTATACAACATGAAAGTTAATAGCAGAACCAATTTTAACTGCAAAATTAAAGCAGAATAAGGTCAAAGATAAAAGAGAGGAGAGAATTAAGAAATGATAAGTTAAATCACAGGGTTGGCCATTGGTGTTTGCCCACTCGCACAGGTGAGTGCCAAAATGGTCGAACAAGTAAAACTCAAGGATCAGTCACCCAGTTGGGCGAGTATGGTTTATATGTATACACAATAGATGTATTCAAAATGAAGGTCCCTTTCCACTTTCCACTTGAAAATAATCTACTAAAATAATCTATTTTTTAAAATCTTACCATTCTGAAATGTCCATCAACCCTAGTTCATTTCTTTTTTTAATACAAGTTCGTAAACAGACAAAATGGCTTTATTCTGCTTCAATGATTGTTACATGAAGAATGAACATCTTCAGAGTAATACCTCTGGTCATTAAATACAAGTTGCATTGTCCACAGAGCTGCAAAATGTGGGAAATTGGCTCCTTCCCACCCCTTTGAGTGTATAATTTTGACACTTTTCTTGAGGTAAGTGTGTTGCTATTAACTTTTTGTTTGGAATTAAGGTCTGTTTTAGGGCACAGTGAGCGAACTTCCATGCAAGTAGGAGGGGGCTATTTTTCTTTTAAACGGAGGAGACTGGGCAAGTGAAAACTGATCTGGGCGAGTGACATTTATGGTGAGTGCTCCAAAATTTTCATTTCCAACCCTCGAATCACCAACCTGGGTTAAAAAAAAAGAAAGAAAAGAAAGGAAAACCTGAAAGACCACAGCGATTGTGACTATTTTATCAAGAATGTATTTCCCTATTGGATCATCCACAGAGAACAGAATTAAAAATAGCCTCATGATCCTTGCTCCTTGTCAATATTTAAGAACCGGCTATGCCATTAAAAATGTGCAGGGGATAAAAACCCCAGAGGTGTGGCTTCCCCAACCACACACATTCTATTTCTTGGGCTGTTTAGGGAAGGGACTGTTTAGGCCAACAGTGATTGTTGCAATCTGTTGTGGTCCGGCCATATCTGGCAAAGCTAAAAAAATAAATTTAGTGATTCCTTTGTAATGGGTATCAAAATTATGCTGTAGGAAACATTTTTCCCTACATTCTAAATACAGATCTTCACTAAAGCAGGGTTGTCACTATGATTTCAACTTGCCGGGGAAAAATAATAAATAATAAGTAGGTGGAGAATCAAACAGCTAGAGATTTCTTTTGGTTCTATTTTTCTTCTGTTTTCCAATGAAGGTAGCTGGGGACCATGTTCATAGTAGCCGGGGAAAATCCCCACCCCCTGGCTCTTAATGACAGCCCTGCTAAAGGAAAGTAATTGCAGGGCTAGAAAAAAGTCCTGTTCAGTAGTCCGAGATGAGTAGATTTTCTTACTGGGCAGCCAAGTAACGTTTAAAGCTCACTTGCCCAAAGGCAAGGGTCCAGGCAAGACAAATCCAACTAAATCATTAACTACAACAAGCAAAATGTGACAGCTGCTTGCCCAAAGGATGTGCTGGAATTCAAGTTTTCTTTTTTTGAGCCCTGAGTTAGCAAGGGAGCTTACCATGTTCCTGTGATTCATACAAAGCATGAACACCCTCAGGAATAATAACTGCAAGTGCCGTTCCTACCAAAAGACCAGCACCAAGTATACTTATCATCCGCAATCGCTTCTGTTTAAGACAACAGAAAAAACAAGCAATAATAAAATTCAGACTAAAGCATGTTTATCTTAGACTAGTAATTATTACTCATTTTTAAATATACATATTATTTTTTAAAATTTCTTTTTTTCAATTCATACTTTGATATGAAACAAACATGTGCAAAAGAGTCCAAGTTGAAGTTATAGTCTGATAAACTGCTAGTCCATTCAAATAGAATTATGTTTTCTTGTAAAGCAAAGGGAGATTTTGAAATGAGATCAAAATATTATTAAATGTTACTATGTAAAATGTACTACCGAGCATTTCTTTAGTTATTGAAGGGAACACAGCAATACACTGTTGCTCCTGACATTACAATAGAATGGAAAACCAATTACAACTAAATATCTTAACAAAGATGCAAGCATGGTCATGATGCAAGCTTCTGTGACTATGTTTGGCTAGGTAAGTACAATGGAACCTTGATATAACTTACAATGCCAGGACAAGGCATCATATTGAGGTTCTTTTCGATATATTTTACCATTAGTCATAACTATAACAAAATCTCAAATCTGATTGGCTATCAGCTGTCCTATTTCAGCAAATAAAATAGGACAGTGTAAAAGGACAGTACATGTCATGCCTTAGTAATTGGACAGTATACGCCATCGCATGAGTGCACTTAAAAGGCTTTTTTTTTTCACTGCCACAAAAAAATAAACTCTCGGAATTTCTTGTGTTTCAATTTACAAAAAACCCCTAAAATATCACAAATTTTGTTATAGTTATGATTAATTGGTAACAGTACTTCATGTCACCCAATTCAGTCAGTAATCATACTCGTGATTAAAGAAATCAGACTCCCACTATGTGGTTGTCAAATTTTGTTAATCACTCGTATGATTACAGATGGAATTGGACTCCACTCAGTCCTATTACCATTATTAATTACTGGCACAAAAAATAACATTCATGTTACCAAATAATTCATTTTAGTATATACTAAAACAGTGGATAGTGTTTTTCCGGCGCTCTGATTGGCTACTCAATCAGTGAATATCCTGCACTATTCACTGATTCACCTCCAGTTCCTCCGAGCGAGCGACGCCAAACTAGCCTAGGTTGCGAGCAAAATGCTTTCCCGGTTTGCTGCCGTAACAAACTAAGAAATTTCACAACTAATCAAGCAAGCTATTTCCGAAATACATGAAGAAGGTGACGTAGTTCGGTTTGGAAGTTCTAACCGGTAAAGCTTTGTCTTTTTGACTTGAATAGTTATCAATAAAACCGGTGTAAAAATGTTTTGTTTACAAATGCAAATTAAGCTTAAGTCTTGCATTACTTTATTTAGTTGACTTGTTCATAAATAAGCTTAAAACTACATTTAATAATCTTTTTTACAGAATTATTTTAAATGCAAACAGAATTCACAACTCCTTTTGAAGAAACTTCCCCGCAAGAGCTAAACAAACGCCTTCAAAAGTTTTATTTGTCGCTAAGAAAAAGCGACGACCGCGGCCGTTCGGTCATCGCGCGCCAAAATTGTAATCGTTGGCAACAGTAAATGAGTTAAAAATCATCACTTTGTGCTCAATTATCTCACTGTTTAAGTATATACTAAAACAATTATTCACCTCAGTGTCGGTGGCTAGTAGTGGATATTTACGTCACTGCTTCGCGGCCTCAGTAAATATCCAGTACTAGCCACCTCCACTTCGGTGAATAATTGTTATATGTAGGGGATCATTATATCCAGGTCTCACTGTATAAAATTAGTTAAATTACATTTTCCTCATGATGTAGCCCCCATACATTATGGATAATTTTGACAAAGTGTAAACATGTTATTGGTAGATTAAAAAACACGATACATTGAAACAAATAACTTCCAGGTTATGTATCTGATTTCGCTGTTAACGTATTGAGAAGATCTACACTACACACTCAAGCATACTATGCTATATACTATGAAATATATGTTTGTCTATTTCACCATACGACAAATATCACTAAGGGAATTCATCATCAATACCGAGAGTCACATAAATTGAGTACAAAAACCATAGTAGCATATTACAGAGCCACCGTATATAGCAAGGACACATAAAAGAATTAAATAAAAAACATCACAGAATTTTTACCTCAGACATTGTGAAGGCGAGCGGAATAGCACCGGCAACATAGCACCCGACAAGCATACAAAAACTTAAACCAAATAACCTAGATATATCATCCATTTCACGAAAAATGTGTCATTTAACGTAAAAAACAATTTATGAATCTATGAAGTGAGTATGATAGAGTCAAAAAACAGACCATAAAAATTCTACATGTAATTGCATTTACATCCTCCGAACGACACCATTTTTCTGTGACACGCGTCCGTTCAGCTGTGTAGCCGCGCAAATTTGTCAGCGGTGTCTCAAGCAACCCTCACTTCCGTTTTTCCAAGAACTGTTTGTTGTCCTCGGTTTCCGGTTTCTTTCCCGGAAAGAATATAAATGCTTAGCAAAGCAGAATCTCCGAATGCGTGGAAGAAACACAGAAAGGTAGGGTTTTGAAAATTATTTTAGTTCCATAATGCTTTAGAGCCGATCGATGGAGAACTGCACACCTTAACTGCGATATCAACTTCCAGAAAATGTATCTCAGAGTCCATCTCAAAGCCCTTCGTAGCGGGACTGTATTTGATGGTGAATCTTTCTAGCATTGCTTGTAGTCACAAGTTTAGATTTAAATATTTGAAGATGGAGAAATTGAGCCGAAATTCAGTTGAAAATAGACTGGACAAAAGGTTTTATACCACCCCACCAGGCCACCAGTAAAATTTCTGACATTTTATCTCTCCTGAAATTTTATCTTTTCCGGCGCAGCTTACTTCTCGCGTTCTCTGACCAGGTTTATCACAGCTTTTCATTACACTGCCATTAGTCCTTGATGATCGCTGATTGACACCCCACCATAGCATTCTTATTTACGTTTCATTTCATGAACCATAAATACATACAATACTATAGTGAATCCTTTTTCCGCATCATCATTCATTTATCATTGGCCGTTTTCACAGTAGAGACCGCCGGCGGATTATCGGTTGGATAATTCGCGCCAGACAGATAATTGTTTTATCATACGATTACTAAGTTTGTTTTTTAATAAATAAATATCTTCGGAAAGCGGTTAGCGCGCGCTGCCTTCCAGGAGAAGAGATCACATAAACGAGCAAGGAGCAAGCATGGTTTCAGTTTAATACGCATGAGTAGAATAGTATTTGCAGCCAAAAGTTATTTGCAGATCACGTGGTGAGCTCTCGGCCAATGAAAAGGAAGAAACATTTGCATCGAATGATAATTTCTGTTGAACGGCTGTTCTGAAAAAAAAATATGAATGCATTGTAAACTAAAGCCTCACTCCTAAGGATTCTACTGAAAAAATTAAGGGCTTTACCTAGGGCCACATTTTAAAATTTTCTATACATTCTACGGTCTGTAGGGGAGTCCCGGGAAAAATTGCAGACAAATATATGGAAAATCTAAAGCAAGCCTCTGGAGAAATTTATGCGCAGGTACGTCTTTGTGATCTCCTCGCCACTGACAAATCACCGTATATTTTGCTCAATCTCGTCCAGTAATTGCTAATTATTTGACATTAGATTCTCATACAAACACTGTAATTTCTCACGCATTTGCCTACTTGTCAAGATAGTGTCTTCCTATAGCTAGGTCTGAAAACAGGTATGGAATTTGGAGGTATGGTCTGAAAACGGGTGTGGAAAGTGACATTTTTTGGTCTGAAATAGGGTCAGAATATGGAGAACCGAGCGGCACGCCCCCACTAAGAATTTCCAGGAGTACCCCCTGGGGTGCGCTCCTCCTGCCTAGTCAGTTTGCCTGTGTCTTAAGAGTGTATTTAAAATGCGAGAAGTGACTTTTTGACCTCTCGCGAGTCTCGTTCTCGGAGATAACAGAGAGACTACTTAGTGATTGTAGAGATTTATTGGAACCATTACAAATGTTCACTAAATTGGTTTTAAAAATGTTTGAGCAACACTGCTGCTAAAACATGGTCTGCGAATTTTTTGGAAGATCAGGTTATCTTATTTGCAGGGTATAGTAGCCAAAAAAAAAACAAGTGATCAAAGAAAAATGCCCTTGATGAGAAACCAAAGAAAAAAGGAAAACTTTCCAGAAGAAGGTTCTAATTGTTACTGTTTGTTTTGTTTTTTGTTGTTGTTGTTGTCTTATTTTGTTTGTTTGTTTGTTTTTTCTAAATAATTTTTTCCAGGAATGCTCACTGATCTGGTCTTAACTACCCCCCCCCCGCCTCCCTCTCCCTGTCAGTGATTGTGCACTGCTTCAAGCATGGGGCTGCTTAAGGTTCAGACTGCATACCTGTGTATAGATTGTTTATTGTTTATTGTTTTGTTTGCCAAAAAATTATACAAATCAAATAAAATCTAATTACCTTAACTCTCATGGCGAGGAAGCCCAAGAGAAGCCACCGGGCTTATAAGGAATGGGCTCCCTCAGTTAGATAATTAGAACAAAATATTATCATAATTACACAAGGGAAAATCAATGGCAGAGCTACAGTAAATCTTAAAATAAGTATATTAGATAGTCGTACTAATCATAGTTCTAGGCTAAAAAAAGCGAAATGACAAAAAGAAAAAAACAAAACGAAACAAAACAAAACAAAAGAAAATAAAAGAGCAAAGGAAGAAAAAAAAAATACATATATATATATATATATATATATATAAATTACTATTTATGATAAGAGGAATGCTTTCAGCTTACAGCAAAAGGAAGCGGTACTTGTTGCATTTCGAATTTCAAAACTAAGAGAGTTAAAAAATTTAGGACCTTGGAAACTGATGGAGAACTTTCTTATATTAGTCCTGCAATGTGGTAAATAAAAATGCTCCGAACTTCTAGTGCCATAAGAATGCACCTCGCGTGTCACCAGAAACATGTTATTGAAGCTATAAGGAAGTAAGCCAGATCTGTATTGATACATAAATTTTCCTATTTGAAGTTTGTAGATACTCTCAAGATTCAGAATTTTTAAATTTTTAAATAAGGGGTC